ATATATCATTAAAAAATACCATAAAATACCGATACCACGATACTTTTACAATGATTAGTGAAAATGGGAAAAATATGCTTCCTTACAATAAAACAGTTCGAAATGCTTAGGAGAACTGTACGAATCATTATCTTAAATTAAGTTAAGGATGTAAAAAAAAATATGAAATATTTTAAAAAACAATTCAAAAGATAATAAATTGTCAAAACAGATATAATCATGAACTTGAAAAATTTTTATTTACGAATACGTAATAATAACTTACCATAAAAACCACTAATAGTTAATTAAGACTTTATTTAATGGAATACGTACAGGCATGAAAAAAGTAACTTTTTGTATAGCAAAAATCATTAAAAGAGATTAATATTAAATTATATTTAAAGATGTACCAAAAAAGAAATAGGATGTAGGGAACACTGAAATATCATAGCTCTAAGTATGATACTTACTGTCTCATATTTATGGTAATACCAGGAGTAAAAAATATACTTTTATTGTCTAATGAACATGCAAATGAATGGAAATAATTTTACCATTTCCGAAGGAAAAAAGGTAGAGGGCGATAAAACCAGCGATGCTCGGGCGTGCCATTATTACTGCCACAACTAATAGGATTGACTAAATGAGAATAAAAGTAAAGACGCGCTACCTCCACTATATACCCGCACATCCACCGTTCTAATCTACGTAAGTACCGAGATAAGATTACATTGTATTTGAATAAAGATTTATCATTTAAAAATCAGTGCTCGACTTCTCTCTATTTCTTTCTGATCGTTGTAGTTTATAACAACTGATAAAAATAACGTATTCTTGATATTGTAGTGAATACGTATCATTTAATTTAAAAAAATAACAACTTTTTCCTTTTTTGCCAACTGGCATCCGATTTATTGTGCGAAATGGTAATTTTTGCTAGAATTTCTCTATTATATTTATTATTTTTTTTCTCTCAGTGTAAATTTCGAGCGCTTGTATATACCTAAATATATCATGTACACTTGTAAATAATAAAAACAGAAAAAATTAGAATGAATGGTACGTACCCAAGTATAATTTCGTGGATTCATGTTGACATCGTAGGGCCCGAGTTCCTCAAAATTGCCGAATCCAGTGGATGAGGCACCTGGACCACCCTGGAGCCAAATGAGCAGAGGCTTCTCGTAGTGGCTTGCGACGTCCTCGTTCGTGGTGAAGTACAACCACCAGAACATGTGAGCACCCCGACGCACAGTTGAATAATCCCATTCTTGCTCGCCCGATCCTACACCGGCTCTGCCCTGAACTGATTCATCGAGATGACGAGTTTTTATTTACCCTCTATCATTAGGGTGCTGTAGTTCATTTCAATTTTTTTTATCCTTAGGATGATATGATTTTTCTATCTTTTTATGGACGGCGAATCAAATATATATGGAAGTTGAGATTTTTCACGCACACCTGACGATACGTGGCCTCTGTGATATTTTTGGCATAGTAATTGGTACCGATGTACTTAGAAATACTTGGAAATTTCCAAGAGACCGAAGCCTTTTTATTCTCTGCGTAATTGGTTGAAACAGGTCGATTGTGTTGTTTGGTAGAATTTTTCATTAATCAGTTGCATTAAATTGCAAAAAATCCAACAAATATAATCAAAACTACTCGATTTTTTTATGCTCTGAAAAAATATAACTCAAAAACTTTATTTGATTTAAGTTGAGACAAAATAAAATTGCACGTAACTTTTGAATATCCCTTACATAAATTATACTTTGTTGTTAATTATTAAATATTTATAAATTAATACTGAATTATTTACATGAGGATATTGTATCGAAAAAACATTTGTGTCGTTGGTGGTAACATAAATTTTGCAAAAGTAAGATTTAGAAACTATGTGTATACATTTAGGAAGACAGAAAAAAATGAACTAAATGGTGTTCTCCTTTTGTGATGCGGTATGTTTATTGGATAATATAAAAGCGAGTATAAAAATAGTCACAATAAGGTGAAGCGCGTTAAACATACTTAACTAGTTTAGTTAAAAAAGGAATTTCATGTGCCTCTCACCCACCGGAATGACACGCTCCCGACAAAAGTGATGCGTCGCTGTTTTAAAACACGATTTGATTGGCCGTCGATGTTTGACCTAATTTCGAATGGTTTTTTCTAAATTGACAAACGTATAAGTAGCCCACTGATCGACCGTACCACAGGTAAGTGATGTAAGTCGAACAGGGGTGGCTTGCTGGTGTGTCATATATATATATATATATATTTTTTTTTTCATTGTAATTCTGTTAAATATTTATACGTTATAACAAAAGAAGTGTCAATAACGAAGAATGCGTGAAGCGCTTTTAACGTAACTGTAGTACATTGAAAATTCAGAATAATAAGAGTGGATGGGTGTGTGTGTATGTGTGCATAGTTTTTACTCACAATTCATCGTGTTGATTGTAACTGCGTCTGATATAATATTTTTCATCTACATATACATGTACACTTGTATACACATTCATTTTTCTATAATAAATTCTACGAAAAATCATCCCTTGCGGAGTTAGGTATTGAAAACAATTAAAATGAAAGTTTTTTTTTAATGCCTCTCAAACTGAGTTAACTTTATTCGTTAAAATATTTTTTGAATTAAAAAGCTGATGCGGAAATTTTGATTTGATATATCATCCGATGTATCACATTTATAAACAGTAGAACAAAAAAATGAAATTAATCTCGAAGAAGCTCAAAAAATTTAATAAAATTTTGAATCCGAGCTCAAAGTCCATCCCTTTATTAGACAGTAGGTATGACTTTTTTTTTTTTTGTAGATCTGCTTGTGTAGTTATTTTTGTTTGAACAAGTTATTCAAGAATTCAAAGCACACAACTGACCCAATTAATGATCTCCAACCCGCATGAACAACAATTAATATTTACGATTTCAGACAATGACCTCAAAGATAAAAGAAATGTATTGCGTTGGTGCGTTGGATAATTGTTTTATCTCTTTCGAAAACACTGTATGTTGCAATTTTTTTTTCTCCACTCGATTTTTCCTCTCAGGCTGTTAGGCTTAGAATGTTTTGCCTATTCAATACTAAAAATATACTATAGTTTTTTTTT